TTTTTTTTTTCTTTTCAGAGACCTGTTGATACAAACAATAGAAAATTGTGGCTTTCAGTACCAAGAATTTCTATTATCTCCAACCTCTGTAGGTACCACAATTATAAACCCTTATATAAATTATAATTTAAAAGCTTGTCCCAAAGGGAACTTGACCAATAAACAAAATGGCTCTATTTTGGATAATATTATAGGTAAATCCTGAAATTTGTACACACTTGGATCTTTCTAAAGAATATAGTACATAACTGTAGATTCATTTATACATATGTATGAAAAAATTACATAGCTTGAAGCTTATGAAGAATTATATTTTTCTTTTGGAGAATAAAAGATAGCTTGTTTTGAAAATGTGAGGGTACTTCGAGATATTCATGGAAGGATTCATATCATCTTTTAATTCCATTTTTCCACTAACATTTTAACATACCCTCTTACGTGAAATTTGGTATTTCCAAACTAGGTGTGCTGTAGTTTACTAATGTTTCAAAATAATCCAAAATAGAAAACAAAATTAACATATAATAGTCTTCTAATTACTTTTTTTATGACATCATTTTGCAAACATTGCCTCCATTTCATGGGTAAGAAATCGAAGTAATTGGTAATAAGATAAGTTTTTGAGAGATTTTGATTTTGCATGCTTCACTGATTATTTTTTATCATTGTTCTTGTTCGTTCCTCATCATCTTTGGCTGTATTATATACTACTTCGCCCAGAAATTTAAAGAAAACCCATTTCAAACATTAGTTATCTAAGCTGTGGAAATTGCCACTATATCTGATCTCTTTAAATTTATTTTGTATTTATTGCCTTTTAATTTCTAAAATACAGTGAATCCTCCTTTTTTAATAAAATGCAATGATAAATAGGTAAGAATTTCATTTTTTATGATTATTGTATTTTCAATAATGTATGTAAAACTGTCTACATTATTTCTTACCTGGGAAATATAAAATGAAAGTGACCCACAGACATATGATTCATCAGATTCAAGCTTTACCTCATTCAAATAAAGGTACAGAGCAGCAGTTTAAAGGTTTAGCATTTGCTACAAGGAAGTCTTCCACAAATCAATAGAATGTGTTCTGGCAGAAGCTAAATGTATATATACCTGAATGAGCTTTTAACTAGGCTCTAAAGTTAGTACAGATTTCTTTAATTTTCTACAGTAACTAACTGCTCTGTTTTACTTACAGCTTGGCATTCCAAATTCAAGACTTCGGTATTTCCTTATTGCAAAGCTTCAGTCAAAGCCATTTCCTTTTCAAGCCACTGGTCAGGTATCATTATTGTTATTGTTATTTGTTATCTTTTATTTATTGCAAACATATCTCATTCTGCTAATTTATTTTCAAGAACTATTTTGTGTAGGTTTATATGTGTCCTGTGGAATCTATAGTTTAGACCATGCCGTAGATCCATCTTCAAGGCCGTTATCGTTTCCTGATGCTACTTTTGTTGGCTTAAACAAAACAAAACAAAATAAAGCAAAAGCCAAAACGTTTTTCTTTCTTTATTAGGAAAAAAAAGTTAAAAGTAAAGAAAAAACAAAAACCAAAAATTACCATTAGTGCTGTTCTCTTCTCTCCACAATTTCCCTTGTGACCACTGACTATTTTGTCTTTATCATTTCCTCCCCCTGATAGAAGCCACTGGTTACTTTTGATAAAATTTAATATTCTACCTTAAAAATGGCTTAAGAGTATTTTAACACATTGGTTGTATTTTTAAAAAGCCAGTGCTATTCAGCTTAATTGATTAAAATATAGTAATGATTAGCTAGAATAAAGTGTTCAGTTGCTATAGGTAGTATCTGTAATTAAGTGAGCAATTTTATGTGCTTCAGTTGAAAATGGGGGTGGATAGCAGAGTTTCAGCATTTCAGTAAAGCTCTCTGTAACTGTCACAGGTAAGAACTCAAAAGTCATGTCCTACTATCAGGGGATCAGTAATGTCATTTGAAGCCTCTATAATCCAATACAAATATATCTCCCTTTCCATAGTGGGCAATTCCAAAAACAATGTATAAAGTATATTAACAAAGACTTCATCATTAAAAATGTCTAGAACCATTTTTCTTTTGCAAAATAAGACTTTATACATGGTTATGTGTTTTACAGAAACAGATTTTTCCTATGGGACTCATGAGTAGAAATAACCTTTCAAGGGGAAAAGCACTTTGTTTTTTTAATTACTGGTTTTCCTTTAGAACATGGGTATGTTCCAGTTTTTTTTCTTTTTAATGAAGGAATATGGCAAACTTCGATACAAAATACATTTTCTGAAAATGTTAATGTTGCTTTCTAAACTTCTTTTCCAAATATAGTGCTCTATCAGTATTCAGCATGCTTCCTATTACTTTGTTGAATGTTTTTATTAATAAATACAGAAAGCAATAACTCCGTGAAAAATAAATCATCTAATGACACTAGAGCTATATGATTAATAACTTGTACAAATACAAGTAAACCTCAATTTCTGTCTTTCTAATGGCAACCCTATAAAGGCTAGATAGGTTTTTGCATAATTCAGCTGGGTGTTATTAATTTTCCTCTTATTGTTAATAAAGCTTTTGACAGTTTGTGTATTTTTACTTGATGCCAGGTATTGATGGAGTTTCCCAAAATTGAATCTGAACACCCACAAAAATATGCAATAG